AAAGAGGTGAGGGTTAAATATCGATTGCTTTTTAAGTGCCGAAGCCCGAAACACTTTAATTTACTTCGATAGCAGTTTTTAAGACCAACGAGCTCGAATAATATAACTTCTTGAACAATGTAAGCAACACAAAAAATGAATCGTGAGAGAAGCGGCACAAGATTAATTGAACTATGAGACACTTAATCAAAAACGGCATAGATTAGAAACTGCACCTAACTTGCACTGGTTTTTAAACCTTTTCGTTGCAGACTTGTAGATTAAATTTTAGGATTGATTTCAGCTGATGCTCAAATGGAGCTATTCATTCGTTCATTCATGCGACCATCCAATTCCATTCATAAAAGAAGCCAGTGACAAAATTGTTCATTTTAGATAAGTGTGAAATACAAACTCAATAAAAGTTTAATGATACGGCAAATTTGACAGCTTTTATAATGAACAGACAAATAACTCTAACGAATCAAGGTTGCGAGCCCCAAATAGGGGAAAGTGAGGTATAGATGAGCCAAGGGGCAAGTTTAGCCACCCCATGTTTCTCAGCTCCTATGGCGCTGATTGACTCGAGCTTCCATGTGCCGTTCGCTTACGATGCTGTAGTCTTTCACGTGAGACGGCAACGTTCTCACGCTCAGCACCCGGTAACATGTGGTATCGCCCCTGATAACTAAGACATGTTTTGCCTTTAAAATGAGATGGTTGTTATCTGCGGTGCATGGTTATTTTCCTTAGCGGGTGTCATTAATCGAAAATGGCCACGGGTCGGGCAAGATGAGCCATTTTCACCTGGGGGAAGATGAGCCGGATAAGCCATTGTTGTCTCCGCTGTCGAAAACCAAACTGAGCTGCGCTTGTATCTGCTGAATAAAAATGGTAGGAAATTGTTTTTCTTTGTTGATTACACAAGTTGTAAGTGATTTGCAGATTATCTGAAGGATAAAATGATTTCTTTCGTGATAGAAAATTAACGAGTTATTGGAAGGCTTAAAACAGTCACTTTTTGATGGAGGAAAAAACTTTGCCATAAGTATGTATGCCATGGAGTAAATAAAAGAGCCCACTCTTCGCCGCGCCCGGGAAAAGAAGAGGTTCGCTTTTTCCATCCATGCTCAACTTTCCCCACGACGTGTCTCAACTTACCCCGCCCATGGGGTAAGATGAGCAACGTGCAAGATGATTTTTGACGTAGCCTTTCAGTACAAAAATAAGCGGTATGAAACATTTCTGGCCACCATTACATGCGCAATGTCTACTCTGTCCGTCCAACTCGTAAACGCATAAAAATGATCAGTAAGTTAGCCTGTAGCTTACGAAAAACAAAAGCGGCTCAACTTACCTCATTCTTCCCTACGTTACACAATTGAGGGCATTTTTTTTTAGGCCATCACAGTATTTGTCAACAATGGTTGTTTGGGGGGGGGGGCTGGAGAGGGTGGTTACTGGCTCATAAACTGTCCCCCCCCCCCCAAATAAAAGAAAACGAAACCGATCATCCGCGAAAAGAACTATTGAGCTCGAACCAAGGTGACGAATCGATTTATAGGTATGCAGGATGACTAACGATGCCACTTTTTGACTTCTTGTGTCAAATAAATTCCATCATCTGGATAGCACGTCAACATTCTATTTGACATTTTACAACAAACGTATACTATTTGGCGCGACTAGCCTCATAAACGTTCTGAAACTAAAACCGTTTCTTCACAATTAACTTGGACCACGTCATCCCAGCTTATGCACGACAAAAATAAAATAATGCTTCAGGATCACTGGCCTGAATTCGAATGCTTAAAGTTTACTCAAAACCGGTGTGGCTGAGGCACTCTTCGCTACATCTCGTGACGGCCACCATTGTGTTTCATTTTTCGGTAAGCTATAACTTAATAAGGAAAGGATTGGTGAGTGGGTTGAAAATAGCCCCCCTCCACCCCCCCCCTCCTTCTTCTGGAAACATAAGTAATCGAAAGATCTGGCGATGGTTTATCCACCTCCTCTGCCGCCGCGCTGCGAGGCCTCGATTCGTTCGGTATGTGGCTTCCTGAGCGGTCCTTCCCGGAGGCAAGGTGAAAGGTCATGGCCTGTATCAGAAATTTATACGTTGCTGAATATGTTTTATAGTTCTTCCAAGGCTTTGCACACCGTTTTATTATATCGGATAAACATTGCACTTTCTTGTCAATCAATACATTTAAAGAAAACTTGATCATAATCTTATACTGCGGCAATTGTAGTTCTGCTTACGGTTGCCTCTTTATGATACGGGCCACCACCACCTCCACTGCGCTGGAGCTCAGGCGTTCTACCCCTCCCCGCTACGGACCGGCCCTCGGGCTAGGTGTGTTAGTACTGAGCGCAAACCTGTAGTAGTCACGTGACTTTCATTCACGTAGCGGGAATGGAAGCTATAGGCGATACCAAGGACGGGCTCTGGGGAGGCAACCGGCGCGGAAAAATAGCACGATTGTAGTTTTGGAAGAATATCTGTTGCGGTAAGAGGAATTATACAAAACATACGTGCTAGGAGCAAACATGTGTTATTCCTCCATACTTTGCGCTACATTTCCTTTCTCCAATGGCCAGCACTTACCAAATAATAGCGCAATTCTAAATTGGTAATATATGTGTACAGTAGCAACTGCGGGTCCCTGTACAGTGTTATAATTTGGCATACCAATGCGCCAAGAAGTGACGCACCCTTGATGAAAATTTTGGCTCGTTATTTGACCTCGAACCTGAGATATAGGCCTCCAAAGTTCGGAACGTTTTTTTTTTTGGGCCACCCGTGCGTATGAATTATCGCAGGTAGAGTAACGTTAATGCCGTGTCGAACTTCATTGAGAGCCGAAAATCGAAACTCAGCCTTCATAATAAAATAAGAAAAGAAAAAAAAAACGTTTCCAACTTCCGTGTAGCCACACCCTTTGCACATTTACCACCAAGCGAAGCTCAACGAGGATCCACTGAACGTTTTGACACATATTTGGCACCTTTAATTAGTTCCAGACAACCCTTACAGGTATCCTTCACGTGGCTTGCAATACCCAGCTTTCAGAGCTCAATACGCCACTATCCCATATCCCTCCCATATCCATAGCCTTTCAACGATCATCGCGTATAAAGCTACCTCATATGTCAAACATGAAATCTACAAATGTCAAAAGTGGGGACTACGTGCCCCTAGAACTTCATAGGCGGCGTGCAGGGTCGGAAACGCAGACCGAGCATTGCATATTGCAGGCTCGAGGCCATCGTACATATTACGAGTATGTACAATCATACACAGACACAACAAGCAGGTGGCGCTAGCTACGACCAGTCCGCAGGTTAGTACATCAATCAGAAGATGTCAGCCAATCAATTTACCGGCCATTAAACCCGTATCATGCTGGATATGATTGTCTCACAGTACGTCATGAGCCAAGCTGTGGATAAACAATTTTACGCATATGCTGAAATGCAGGTAAAGATAGCTGAATGTGCTTATCAGAAAGTAGAAACCAATAGAGAAACTGGAGATGAGGTAAATAAATGAGCGTGTAACTTAACAATGAGGATGGATAAGAAAACAATTCCATCCAAAAGTTACTTCATATCGATCTTATCGATTCACTATCGAAGCGAATCCTTTAAAAACTACGCATTTTCCATAAGAAAGCTTATAACTTGGCAGCTTGGCTGCAGCTGCGTTCTTTGTACCTATTCTACGGAAGGCCTCGACCGTTTGGCACACTACAGAAGCACATAAGCAGGGGAAATCACAATACAACTTCAGCGCCATAAATATTACCAATCGGTGGAGCACAGGTAATGGGTCATATTTAGACATATACAGGGGTGCGCTCATTCGAGCGGCGAGAAGTCTTTCTCCCGCGAGCCACATCAGCCGGCCGTGTAGTCTGCTCTGCCTTCCCTGCCCGCTGTGCCGTCTCAGTCGGCCGCGAGGTCTGCTGTGCCGTCTCTGCCCGCCGCGGTGCCTTTCGTGCCTTCTCTTTCCGCTGTGACGTCTGCTGTGCCTTCTCTGACCGCTGTGACGTTTGTTGTGCCGTCTCTGTCGGCCGTGGCGCCTGCCGTACCGTCTTTGCCGGCAGTTGAGTTTGTTGTGCCGTATCTGTGCGCATTGGCCTGTGTTGTTCCGTCTCTGTTTGCCGTGTCGTCTGTTGAGCCCTCTCTTTCGGCCGCGCCCCCTGCGTCCACCAGGCCATCTGGTGCGCTGACAGCGGCGCGCCCGTCGGCCGGCTCTGTCAGAGATACGTCTCTCGGCCGCCGATCACGACGATACCGTCCTCCCGCACCTCGATCCGGATCAGCTCCCCGTCCGGATACGGACCCTTCTCCGGGCCGACCGGACCGGGGGCGCCACTGGCGGAAGGAGGCTCGCCTGCAGAACTCGTCTGGGAGCGTCCCTGGTCCGCGCTTATAGACGGGGAAGGCGGCGACGGCGGCGGCGGATTGTCGTCACCGCCCAGCTCGTCATTGGAGTTAGTGTTGATATCAGGCAGTGACGTGCAGTTCATCTGCACGATTCTTTCAGGAAGAGGTGGCGGCGGCTCGACCTTTCCGACCCTCTCGGTTTCTGTATTAGTCGGCGGCTGCTCGCAGCCCCCACGGTCGGTGGTGTCCCTCTCCGAGGCCGGCACCGGCTCGGAGTCGGTCCCGTTCGGGTCGCCGTCGCAGCCCCGTCCGTCCACACCAGCACGGTCCACCTGGTTCGGCTCGGAGGTGCCTCGATCAGTAGTATCCTCACTCGGTGACGCGCGAGGCTGCTGCCCGTCCAAGCCCCGTTCACAGTCTCCCTCCCTCTGGGCCGCTATGTCGCCATCCCGAGACTCGTGAGGACCCGGCTGGTCACCGTCTCCGTTCGTTTCACAGTCACCTTCCTCGGACTGCCGCGGCCCATCACCCTCCCCGTCATCTGCGCATTGTCTGAACGTGTCCACCGCCGTCTCCGAAGGCCCCCGACCGCCCTCCCCCTCCGGCAGCCCGTCGGCCGCGACGCTCACCTTGGCTGCAGGCTCGGGGCGCACGCGGCGGCTAGAGCCGGGCTTCTTTTCGCCGGCTCGCTTCCAGGTCCGGCCGCGCACGTTTTCCGACGGCGGGGTCGTCCGCGGCGTCTGTGCAGATGTCGGCTGTGCCGTTTCGCACGCCGGCTGCGAGCGGTCGTCTGGAGTGGTGCCGGGGGTGGTCAGAGTGACGGTCGGCCGCGACTCGCAGTAGGTCATGTCCACATCGCACGGTGACGGGGTGAGGAACGAGGGTGGCATACCGGGCACCAGCAGCAGCGACAGAGGCCGCACGTACTCACTGCGCGTCCACGGCGGCCGCAGGGGCAGACAGAGCCAGACTCAGTCAGCACAGTACGGGAGCAGGGAGGGGCAGGCGCGACACAGGTGGTGCCCCCAGATACGATGCAGATCAAGGTGACGGCACACTTGATTGGCATATCATGACATATTTTTCTATGAGGTTACCAAAAAATGCTAGGTAACTTCAATCAGTAACAATTTAATATGAAGCGCACACTTTAACGTTAAACCTAAGGTGAAAACTATAGAAATAGCCAACGTTCAAATGCAGCTTGCTTCCACAAATGACAATGGAACAGGCCTATCACTCTTTTAATAATTCGATTGCAGTGATCAATTAAAAAAGCGACAAACACAACAACCCTCGCTTTAGTACCCCAAAAGCACGCCTCAGCTGCTAACTGCAGTCTCTCTCCATGACTTCCCCGCCGCCCCCGCCGCTCACCTGCTGGCCCCGTACAGGCCACGCTGGTGTACATAGTTGATGACCGGGTCGGGCATCAGGTACTTGACGCTCTCACACCGGCCCAGCGCGCGGCGGATCCGCGACGAGCTCACCTCGTTGGCGATCCACTCGGTCACCAGTTCGATGTTGCGCTGGGGGCAGCGGAGAAAATGTACACTTAGTCACCAGGACAGAGGAGATATCCACTCGGTTACCAGTTCGATGTTGCGCTGGGGGCAGCGGAGAAAATGTACCCTTAGTCACCAGGACAGACTAGGAGATATCCACACGGTTACCCTCTGTTGTGCTGGAAACAGGAGAGATATTATCTACGTTAATTGCTCAAAGCTGACAAATAACATCAATATTAACCCGCGCACCGACGGGGGTCTGCGCCAACTTCGCACCGACGGGGGGGGGGGGGCGGATGACCGCCCCTCTGAGATCTCGAGAACGAAGCAAGATAGCGACAAGCGGTAAACGGCATCGGATACGCACGGCCAAGATCTACAATTTTTACTAAGGTCATTTTCAGGTCAGGTCAAAGATGACGTCACAGGGGTCGAAAAAGTCAAAATGGCGGCGCTAGATATGGAGAGTTTTTCTCGAATAACTTTCGAATTAGTCAAGATGGGAACAAACTAAGGGCATCATCGTGATCCTCTCGTCAATCCGCATCGAATGATATATATGTTGACCTCGAAAGGTCAAGGTCAAAGGTTGACCTCAGGTCACGTGACCTCGAGGTCATCATGTATATCATTCGATGCGTCTTGACGAGCTGAACACAATGAGACCATCAACGCGTCTGTATCTTGTTCCTGTACGGAGTTATTGGCCAAAAACCTTTGGTGACCTTTGATGACGTCACATGACCTCACAGCTGCCCAACAGCAAAACAGACCTCAAGGTAGTGAAGGTTGATCGTATATGAAGTCATGTATGGTATATGGGGCCATTCCGACCCGTTTTAGTGGTAAAAACAGGGAGTTGATTTTTCCCCCATTGACTTATAATGGGGAGGTCGCGAAATTGACCTGACCTTAGGTCACCGATATCAAAATTCCGAGATATACAAATTGTAGCTACTAATGACCTAATAATATCCTGCGACTTTCAAAGGCCTCCGACATCTACTGTAGCTCTGGCACGGTGACAAAGTTGCAAAAAAGTGACTTGAGGTTGGGTCATTCAAAGTGACCTGGTGACCTGACCTTAAAAGATAGGAGGTTCAAACTTGCACACCATGTGTAAAATTGATGAGGTTATAGTCATACCAAATTTCGCGGCGCGTAGCGCCGCGGTTTTCCCGCTATTCGCGAAAAACCTCAGGGGGGGGGGGCGGATATCCGCCCCCCGTCGGTGCGCGGGTTAAGTCAATTCTCACCACAAGCACCGCTGAACATTCTACCAGGAAATGCTCAATGAATTCATGTTCTAGATTTAGCTAGGATCATACAATGACCAGGAGGGAAGGCGAGTGTAATAAGAACAAAAGCATTATTCAGGACGTCCACCAAATACAAATACATACACGTTGCGTCATTAAACCTGTCTTGAACTGACACCCGCAGCGGGTTTGCAGATGCAGCGGGTGACCCGCTGCAGTTGGCGGCTCCTTCAGCCGCACCCGTCATTAATCTAGCCCCCAAAACGTACCTGCAGTCGGGTGAGGACGTCCGACTCGTAGATGAACCTCAGAGGGTTGCTGCCCTCCCTCGTGATCACCACCAGGCCATAGCCGCCGACAATCGCCTCGATCTGAAGATAGAAAGGCAGCAAATGACCAACTGCTGCCGAGACCTGAGCATTGTTTGGTCGCTGTTGTCAAAAGTGTCTACAAAACACACTATATGGGCGGTTACGTGCCAGTTCACAAACCAGTTAGCAGTTCACAAGGGCCAAGCAAAGACTGTGTTCTTTTCGAATAACGGAACGAGCAACTCGAGTAAGTTGCATCGATGATTGAAAGAACAATTATTCGTTATCATAAAAAGCTACTACCGAACAGCTCCCTGGATAACCATTATGACAGCCGAGTAATTCATTACGGACGAGTTCATAATTTTAACGATCCTGTTGAATGTTGCTGTTCCTACGATCAAGCTAGGAAATCCAAATACCCGTAACAGCGTCCCTGAACTGAGGACAGCGCTACTGTGCCAGTAACAGCGTTTCCCGACATCGCCGCATCACTCACATCCTCGTCTTTCCAGAGTCCGGGTCTGTCGAACGACTCGAGCAGGTCGCCGCCGCAGAGCAGTTTCACGTGCAGCTGCTCGGAGCCGAGCTCGCTCGCCCAGGACAGGCCGTCCGTCCGCTGGCGCTTGGTGCTGTTGTCCAGGTTACCGTTCACGATGGAGTCGATCAGCTCCTGTAACGGCAGCGGATACACATCATCGTGTTGGTACATGCACATTGCACTGCCCGCCAAGGTCGCAGAATATTTGATGATTTGTTGTGCATTAGTACTCAAAGAAGCCAGAAAATGTATCCACCCGACAAGAGAAATTATCCATCTGTTTTCGGTAGGCAGCTGTGTGTCGCGGTATACTACTGACTCCAATCACTGACGCTCCCCGTAGTTTCGCTCGGCGGTGCTGTGAGAACGCTCCGTTTACCTGGTGGTGGTGCAGCACCTGCCGCGTGGGCGTCCAGCCGGTCTGGCGGCACTCCCAGTCGGAGAGGTGGATCCAGTTGGAGGTCTGCAGCGAGCGGCGCACCATCTCGCACCGGTCCGACGCCGAGGCCAGGTCCTGCGGCCGCAACCCCAACGGTCGGACACGGCCCGCGACCGTACACTACCAATGACACGGCTGGACACTTTGGTGGGATAAGGCAGGCACAAGGGCACTGCAGACGGACACAGTCAGATACTATAGTACGATGAGGCAGGAGTTACGACATCACAGACGGACACGGTTGGATACTATGGTAGGATAAGGTCGGAGTTAGTTTAGAATCCGGACACCAAGGTCGGAGGTTCGACACCACGTTCAAATGCGGATGTTATTCGTACACTACTGGCGAAAACGGTCAGAGCTCGAGCGTTCAGTTGAGTTCGGATGGAAGGTATGATCAGAGTTAAGACACTTCGGTCAGAATTCGGACGTTGCAATCGGGAACGCTTGGAATTCGGACATTGCGGCGGTCAGAAAAAGGGCGCTACAATCGAATTCGTTAGAGTTAGGACACCAAGATCAGGAACAAAGCAACAGTAAACGCGGCGTCAGTCGTCCCATATTCCCCGTTTGAGCGTTTGTCATTGAATGATGATATTGTAAGCTGACGAAACAATGAAAATGTAGCCTGATACTGCTTAGTGCTTATCAAATGATTAATGTCAATGAAGAAAAATCCCTAAGACTGTATATCTTTTCTAGTTAAGGAAGGACCAACCAAACCTTACCTTCTTTCCATAGGAGTCATGCACTGGAGACATGAGTCCAGCCACCACTTGGTACTTGCCCATTCTATGAAGGTAGTCTCTGGCTATCTCTGTTGGAAGAGACAAGTTTGGGCATTGCTGCATCAGATAACCATGAACACTAAACAGCTTATAACCAACATTAATGATGAAAGTGATATATTGGTTGACAGCACTCGTTTAGCCAATTATTCATCCTAGGGCCCCAGATCTAACTTGAGAAAAAAAAAACTATGTAGGTACAAATGTAGGCATTCTTTTGCTGGGACCTAGGAGAAAACAATTTTAAATATGAAAACAATAAAGTGAAAAAGACAGCTAGTCATATTACAAACCAAGCCACAAATACTCATTGACATTACCAAATATCCTTAGATGCATATGGGTTGGTGGATTGAAGGACCCACAGGCAAGAAGAATTATCTTCTTTGGGGTGGTCATGTTGTCTTGTTCCCTTGGCTTCAGGAAAACTGTAGCATCTGCAAACATTGCAGAAATTGAATTAACATGTTTAAACACTACTAGCTATCAAATCACTACAGATCAAGTGACACTGATGAAAGCATGGGCATCTATTTCACTCTATCGTGCATGTCATTTGTAGCAAGTCTTCCTGATCATTGGAATGGAATACTGGTCTACTCTAATATCATGAGCATCAATTTGCAATAGTAGGTACCTACTACCTATCCTGACTGGTAGTTCAATGTGTTACTTTGTACTAAGAGGGTGTTTGATTTAAGTGGCTTGTCCAACATTGCATACACAGAAATATGTAATATACGATGAATTTTTAGTGGGATAGTGACTCGTGCTGGGCTGTCATTTAATTGGTAATGTGATGAGCCTAGTCAGTCTCAGACCAGACTGCAAAGCAAGGTATCTCGTGTCAACACAATCTCATTGGTGCAACAGAGACACACAGCTGGTGTGCTGTGTCAGTGTCGCGCGGATTTATTGTGGTGTGGTAGCGGTGCAGGTTTAGAGTGGAGTGGTGGAGGCTCTAACTGGGTGCAGTGCTGGAAATGAGGCCGCTTTCTGGTCCCGGCGTTTTATTCTCCTCGCGGGTTAATCCCGTCCAGCGTTTAACCTTTCGGGTCCCACTCAGGGTCGTGGTTGTTTTCGCCGCTCGCCCTAGTCGATATGCAAAGTTAATAGTCACACAAAGCTTATTTAGGGCCAGCCAAACCAGTCTAGTCTGGAGTTACTGTTAAATGTATGCATATAAATTAAAGTAAAAGGTTTTGTAGAATCGATTAATTTCGAAGTCGTATATTCAGAGGCCCCAAATAAACTTCGTGCGACTATCAACTTTGCATCTCGAATGGGCCGAGCGGCGAAAACAACCGCGGCTCTAAAAGGGTCCCGAGAGGCTAAGCGCTAGACGGGGCGAACTCACCCGGAGAATAAAACGCCGGGACCAGAAAGCGGCCTCATTTCCAGCACTGACTGGGTGCCATGCAAATATGCTGTTCTGACAAAGTTATCAATGGAAATCATTAATCTGAAACATAAATGGTTAGCCAAGTGCAACTTGCCCTCTCATTGCAATTTTCTCCATAAAAACAAATGTTTCATGAGTTTGTGGGAAGATTTATAAGCTGTGTTTGGTGAAACCCCTTTAGGCTGGTGCAGATTTCCAGCCTGGTTGATGTCAGCTGGTGGCTGGTGCATATTTGTCACCCTGGTTGGTGAAGCTCATCAGCCATGCTACCATGCTTTGCATTTATAGTCTGGGCCTGAACAGGGAGCCTAGATGTTTGGAAGCCAAATCAAAACTGTTAATGTTTACATGAGGCGACAACACCAAAAAAAAGATTGAAAGGCCACACACAGACAACTGCTCAATACACATTGATATAGAAATAAACATAGGTAACACAATCAACACAGCACTGGTGACATCATAGCTTCTACTACAGTGATATCTAGGTGGTGCTTCAGGACAGAGCGCAGCAGTGCGCTGCACGCGTCAGCATGTTGAGTATCCATGGAAACATCACAAACTTGGAAGCCTCGCAATGCTGAAGCGTCAAGCCAAATTAGTCTTGAAAGCCCACAAACACCGCACCAGCACGCTGCGCGGCTGCAGCTCATGCTGTTCGGATAGTGAAACAGGGCTCTAATTTACAGTAGGTAACCTAACCACCACAAGACTGATGCTGAGTTGATGCCTGATGACATCAGCACTTGCACTACTGCTAATATTTGCAATACCGATATATGTTGACTTCCACGTACCCAGCAAAAGTATGAAAAAACAAGGATTTGATATAGATACCGGGGTTACATGAGCGATCCGTTCCAAATACGCACTACGCTAATGCGCATCAGCTCCCCACAAACGGATCTACGGCACCGGTTACATGAGACTAATTCGTTTTATCTACGTCAAACGGATCTTGTTTGGCTCACCCGGGCTGACTCCTCGACGGCCGGTAATTCGCATCACAAACGGAATAGGATTAGCGTACAGTCATGGCGCAGTTGCGGCATTTACCGGGACGACTGAGCTAAATTTTAAATACTTGTATCATTTGATAGGCTCAAAACATTTAAAACTAACATGAAATCAAAAAATGAAAACAAAGTTTTCTTGTTTTAAGTCAGTGGGCACTGATTCGCCATGCAGCGACAGCAGGGTGGTCAGAAAAAATTATCTATCAAAATATTTCATTCATTTTATTTCACATGCAAAGACTAAACCAAAATACCAACATTTTTTTTGCTATTTTCTACGAGGCAGCCAATAAAAAAATGCTTAGTATTTTGCATTTTGACGCTTCCAGTCAGCAAAGAATAGTTCTTGTGAAATACGGCCCGAATCGTGTGCCTCGGACGGTGCCTCGGACGTTTCGGTTACATGAGCGATCCGTTCCAAATACGCACTACGCTAATTCGAATCAGCTCCCCAAGAACGCATTCAGTGCACCGACTACATGAGCAAATTCGTATCAGTGACGTCAAACGGATCTAGTTTGGCTCTCGGCCCGATGCGCATTACAAACGGAATAGCATACAAATGTGGCGCACTTCCGTAGCAATAGAGGTGACTAAATTAAAAATTTATTATCTTATGTCTTTTTTGCATTTAATCTGCTCAAAACATTCTCAATTAACTTAACAAAAAAAGTTGAACATAAAGTTGTCTTGCTTTGACTCATTGGGCCATTGCCTCTCTTGATTCGTCTGTAGTGCTGTCAGAAAAATGTTTCAACTGAAATTATGTGGATATTTACTATTTGGTTTTCACTATATTTATTGTTGAAAACTTAACAAAATACCGACATATTTTTTTAAATATTATTTCAAAGGAAGAAAATGAAAAAATACCTATTATTTTGCATTTTAATGTTTCTTTTTGCGAAGAAATAGTTCCTGTAATACGTATCTTGGTCCTATTCGCTTCTAAGCCTCTTTCCCAGCGGATTTTGTTCGGACCGCCGATTCGTATTAGCAGGTGGATACATGAGTCGGTAGTACGCTCCTGATTCGCATTAGCGGTGAATCCGATCGTGATACGTATTTGCTTTGCTCATGTAACCGCGGATCGGATCGCCGATTCGTACTAGCAGGTGGCTACATGAGTCGGTAATGCGTTCCTAATTCGAATTAGCGGCTAAATACGTATTTACTGTGCTCATGTAACCCCGATAAGAGATGGCCTTGGATTTAATCACATCAAAGGTTAACAATTTGCAGCAAAACTTAAACAATTTCAACCAATCGATGCCGTAACCGGACAAATCTTCGTATGGCATTTCTTCGTCGCGCAATATTTCGTCCGCATTTCTTCGTCCGCAAATCTTCGTCGGCGCATTTATTCGTGTCGCATTACTTCGTCTCGCATTTCTTCGTAGGTGCAAAAATTCGTAGCGCATTTCTTCGTATCCGCATTTCTTCGTCGGCGCATTTCTTCGTCAAGCATTTTTTCGTCCACGCATTTCTTCGTCTACGCAAATCTTCGTCCGCATTTCTTCGTCCACGCAAATCTTCGTCTCCGCAAATCTTCGTCCGCAAATCTTCGTCCCCGCAAATCTTCGTCCGCAAATCTTCGTCCGCATTTTTTCGTCCACGCATTTCTTCGTCTACGCAAATCTTCGTCCGCATTTCTTCGTCCCCGCAAATCTTCGTCCCCGCAAATCTTCGTCCGCAAATCTTCGTCCGCAAATCTTCGTCCGCAAATCTTCGTCCGCAAATTTTCGTCCGCATTTTTCGTCCACGCATTTCTTCGTCCAATCAAATCTTCGTCCGCAAATCTTCGTCCGCAAATCTTTGTCTGCGCTATCTTCGTCTCCGCAAACACTCGTCCACAAATGTGGTTCAATAAAACCATGAAGAAATATCAGACAGTCAAGTGAATGACGAATTTGATGCATGGAATGGATGATCGAAACTTTTGAAGTCAGGTAGATGAGGTCAGTCAGGTGAAGCTATTGTATTTGGAGCCGGCAATTGTAACATTCCATATCATTTGTGTCCCGGACATTCTTTTTTTCGCGGTCGTTGAATGACAATATATATATAATCTCTTGTACCTTTTCGCCGGCATGGCGGCGGAACGGGGAGGGCACCGGGGCACCGTTCCCCTCTTTAATTTTGGCCTTTTAACAGTAGCCCTATGGGCGTTGCATGGAAAGCATATTGGACCAAAAGTCGGCAGTGCCGTGCCCCCCCCGTTAATTGAAGATGTTCCGCCGCTAGTACTGCCCGCCGGACCTATTTGTTTTCTACGGTACACGCCGGCCGAGGGGGCGGGTACGACCCCCCCCCCCCCCCATCGCCGTTTCGCCACTGGTGGAGCTAGCGCGTCGCGGAAAAAAACGAGCGTGTGCGCCGTTACGAGCCGCAGAGATTAATACCCGATTTTAAGGCCTTCTAGGTCAGGGGTCGGCATACGGCCCGCGGGCCGGATCCGGCCAGGTGGGTGACGGTTGGATCCGGCCCGCGACCATCTGACGTCCGGCCCGCGGCTGGTATCAGCGACTTACATCGTGTTCCGGCCCGTCCCCCCCCCCCCACACACACACACCGCCTGGAAGGTTAAGCGAGCAGACCACGTGAAGCCGCCAAGTGCACGCAGCTGCAGCAGTCGTTGATGCTGCGCGCAAAAGCTGCTGACCAAATCTTACCGTAGCAAGTTTTGTCTAGAAGTAGAATTAGACAAAAACACCCGCAAATGGTGTTTATAAACTCATGAAGTGTGCGAAGGAAGAACTGTTGTGCCAAAGCACATTTGAGTCACTTTTATATCGGAGTCGATTTATGAAGGAACCGCGGGCCGGAACACGATGTAAGTCGCTGATACCAGCCGCGGGCCGGACGTCAGATGGTCGCGGGCCGGATCCAACCGTCACCCACCTGGCCGGATCCGGCCCGCGGGCCGTATGCCGACCCCTGACCTAGAAGGCCTTAACCCTATTAGTGGCAGGGGGGGGTTGTTTTTATCCACCCCTCAGGTTTTTCGGGTGTATCTCCGAAACCGCTGAAGCTACGATGCTGAAATTTTCTGACTTTACCTAAAACTAAATTGGACACATTCCCTGAAAATTTCAAGTTCATAACTTTACCAGGGGCGGCTCCAGGGCACTGGGAATTGGGGGGTCCTATTCGTGAAGCGAGTCATTTGGGCGAAGATCACGATGCTGCACCAGTTTTACGAACAGTGAATGAAAGGTATCATGTGATAACATACAAAGTTATTGTGCATCCTCTTTTGACACGTTTTTGCTATAATAGGCGGATCCAGGCGTCCAAAAAGGGGGGTTATTTTTTACCTCCCAACATAGGTGCCATGACACCGCGTATGCATGACCAATACAATTTTAGTCGTTCTCTCATAAGAAAATTGTAACATAACAAGACCATTGCCACCCTTTTTAGAAACAATACCAACAAAAACCTTATTTACTATACTTTTTGTGTACCCCCAATCTCAATGATCTGTATCCGCCTATGATTTTTGAAAATGCATATTTTTAGGATCCATGTGAATTCCTGGTTCATTCTCTATCGATCGGCAAAAGTTGCGTTAATATTGGTTCAGAAACCTGGCCGTGATAAACAGTCTAAAATGTATCTGCAATTTGCCCGTTTTTACCCCCCTCTACCCCCTATTGACATTTTTTAATTTTTTTTTTTTAGAAATGTAGATCTCGTTGAGCCAAATCGAATGCCGTTTGAATTTTGAAAATCGGCCGGTTAGATCTCGAGATATCAAGGGGGGGGTCGTAAACAGCCCCCCTGCCACTAATATGGGGTAGCCAGGAGCCTGCCACTAATAGGGTTAAAATCGGGTATTAATCTCTGCGGCTCGTAACGGCGCACACGCTCGTTTTTTTCCGCGACGCGCTAGCTCCACCAGTGGCGAAACGGCGATGGGGGGGGGGGGGTCGTACCCGCCCCCTCGGCCGGCGTGTACCGTAGAAAACAAATAGGTCCGGCGGGCAGTAGCGGCGGAACATCTTCAATTAAGGGGGGCACGGCACTGCCGACTTTTGGTCCAATATGCTTTCCATGCAACGCCCATAGGGCTACTGTTAAAAGGCCAAAATTAAAGAGGGGAACGGTGCCCCGGTGCCCTCCCCGTTCCGCCGCCATGCCGGCGAAAAGGTACAAGAGATTATATATATATTGTCATTCAACGACCGCGAAAAAAAGAATGTCCGGGACACAAATGATATGGAATGTTACAATTGCCGGCTCCAAATACAATAGCTTCACCTGACTGACCTCATCTACCTGACTTCAAAAGTTTCGATCATCCATTCCATGCATCAAATTCGTCATTCACTTGACTGTCTGATATTTCTTCATGGTTTTATTGAACCACATTTGTGGACGAGTGTTTGCGGAGACGAAGATAGCGCAGACAAAGATTTGCGGACGAAGATTTGCGGACGAAGATTTGATTGGACGAAGAAATGCGTGGACGAAAAATGCGGACGAAGATTTGCGGACGAAGATTTGCGGACGAAGATTTACGGACGAAGATTTGCGGACGAAGATTTGCGGGGACGAAGATTTGCATGGACGAAGAAATGCAGACGAAGATTTGCGTAGACGAAGAAATGCGTGGACGAAAAAAAATGCAGACGAAGATTTGCGGACGAAGATTTGCGGGGACGAAGATTTGCGGACGAAGATTTGCGGAGACGAAGATTTGCGTGGACGAAGAAATGCGGACGAAGATTTGCGTAGACGAAGAAATGCGTGGACGAAAAAATGCTTGACGAAGAAATGCGCCGACGAAGAAATGCGGATACGAAGAAATGCGCTACGAATTTTTGCACCTACGAAGAAATGCGAGACGAAGTAATGCGACACGAATAAATGCGCCGACGAAGATTTGCGGACGAAGAAATGCGGACGAAGAATTGCGCGACGAAGAAATGCCATACGAAGATTTGTCCTGGAATCAATCGATGCAACACCGCAACACCAAAAAATAATTATGCAAAAAAGAAGAGTGTGGCTTTTGCCAAATTCAAGGTCACCAGCTTCAAGGTCATCGAATCACAATGGGAATAAAAGCGCTGCAAATTATTTGTAGCTCAATGGCATGCACAGCACATAACACGAATAGCAAAATCAATTGGAAATTATCGTAAGTAGATGCTAAAAAAGTAAATATTTTTACTCATGGTCAGTAACTATCTTTTTTTCACTTTTTAACAGCAACACGGCCTTCTGAGAGTGCCATTAGGTAGTAGTTACATCATACCTATCATAAGGTTTGATCGATAAACAACGTTTTATTTTCGCAGATATTTACACAGTCTTGCGAAACTGTTATCTCAGCTTTAACAGGATTTCATTTAAAAAATATTAGGAAATCGAACAAAGCAAAATTACCAGCAAAAAAAGGTATTTGTACAAAAGACGGCTTAGCGTATGATAGCCTGGCTGACGGAAA